AGGCTTAGAGATTAATGGCAAAGGCCTGGAAACAGGACATCTGGCTCAGAATCCTGGTTTTGCCACTTACCAACTGCATAACTTTAAGCAAAGTTACTTCGTCTCTCTAGATATTAGTTTCCTCATCTGTAAAATGGGGATAATAATGTTAGCTACCTAATGAGGTTGCAGGGACTTTTCAAAAACTGCATAAATCTAAGGCAGAACCTGGTATTACATATAGAATATTGGGTGAATGCTGGCTGTTACTCTTATTATCCAAAATCTTGGCCCTTGAGATCAACTTGTCTAACTCCTTATTGTGTAGATGAGGAAACTGAGGCTCCAAAGGCACTGGTTTCAAAAGCAAAGACTCTAGCCACCTCTCCTCTTCATGGCCTCCCTACCTGCAGGCTGGCTCTGAGATTGGATACGCCAATTATTCAGAAAACCAGCAGCTGGCCCCACCTGGGTTCTGCAATCCCTTCTTGATTGCAAAACAGGGCCCCTATTTGAAGTTGGCACTGAAGTGAGTCCAGCACTTACTAAGCAATGATAGGGTTGGTTTCCATTGTTTTGGCTTTGTATAGCCTTTATTGTTTATTAATGCATGTTCTATTTTCCTTGAAGACACAGAGCATCGGCACTTGTTTTCAAACCTCTTTAAGTCATCTGGAGTCACCATTTACACACCAAGAAAATATTTGGTGTAGGTAGTGAGATGCCTGAATATGTCTCAAAAAAAAAGAGGGTGAAGAGGTACTGGGATTCCACTTGCCTGGGCTGCAGTAGAGCACTTTCTCAGGCTGGAAGCAAAACTGGCTTAAGATTTGTTTACAGTCTGTCTCCACCCTTCCCTTCCTCAAGCCCAGTGCAAATCATCTACCCTTATCTGACAAGCTCATCAACGTGACTCACATGTCTCGAATCTTACTAGCAACTGGAATAAGACCAGTTTCGTGGCCTCAAACTTGTCAGCATGTGCTGACCTGAAGCCCTGCTTATTTCATAGGCCAAATAGTGTTTTACTGGACATCCACTTATTTAATAGATATTATTGAGCATCTACTGTGTTTTAAGCCCTGTGCAACATGCTGGGAATGAAGCCTTTGTGGACCTTATAGTTTAGTGTAGAAGATAAACAAACAAGAAATGACAATAAGGTACAACTAAGGGTTGATGTACTGTAGAAAGTGTTGAAGGCTCTAGGAACTATAATAAGGGGACCATATAAAGGGACCTGAACAAAACTCTTTTCTTAAGAAGTGACATTGAGGGCAGGCCAAGTGGCGCGTTGGTTAAGAGTTGGCTTGGGACGCAAACTCTGAGCAGCAGGGCCCGGTTTGGATCCCACATGAGGGCCAGTGACGCTGTGCCCTCTATAACTAAGATGGTGAATGACAGCTCGACTTGGAGCTGGGCTGCCTTGAGTCGCCAGCAACAGCGTAGGCTGCAGTGGGGCTGGCGGGCAGCTGGCATGAGCTTTCATGAGCTGATGTGAGCTGCCGTGAATGGCCATCCAATGGCTGGCGAGTGATCAGCCTCACCCGGAAAGGGCGCAATGGTAATACCAACATGGGCCCATGAAGCGACGCCCTCCACAACTAGACTGAAGAACAAAAGGACAGCAACTTGTCTGTTCCCCTTCCCCGATTTCCCAACACTGTTCCCCTCCTCCAATTCCTCAATAAAAATCTTTAAAAAAAAAAAAAGCGACATTGAAGCTAAGACCTGAAAAATGATAGGAGAGAGCCAGCTAAAGAGAGACCATGGAGTGCTCCAGGCAGAGGAACAGCACAGACAAAACCTGGAGGTGAGAGAGAAGGGCATGCTAGAAGAACCGCATAAAGTCCAGCATAGCTGGGATAGAGAGGAGGAGTGTGGCAAATGATGAGGAAGCAGCTGGACTTTGAGGACACTGCCTGAACCGCTAAGGAATTTGGACTTCAACCTGAGGGCAAGAGGAAACGGTCTGGTGGAGAATAACAGCTTTCAAAACATAGGATTCCTAGGAATCAACCAAAATCAACCAAAATGTGCTTAAAAAAAAAAAAAGCTGGCGGTGAAAAGACTGGAAGTGCTGTTTTCCCTCTTGTCTTCATGCTCTCGGTACCAAGGCTCAGACCGCCTTTGAAAGTAGTCTGTAGCCTGAAGATCTTCCTCAATGCCAGGCCGTGTTCCCCCAGCCTCCACCCCCACTGTCCACGAAATCAGTACTCCTAGGCTTGGTGCAGCACAGGACTTCCTTAAACCCTTGGAACTGTATAGCCACAGAGACCACCACTGAGAGATTGTCAAAGACCCTTGTTTAACAGATGGACCAACTAAGTAAGGCCCAGAGAAGGAAGTAACTTGTCTGTGGCCCCACAGTAAGCCTCAGGCCTCTGATGCCTCCTTGTTTCCCCCAAAGAAACTAAACAAGCAAGGTTGGGACTAGGGTAAGGCAAACCAGGCACACAGCATGCAAATTTTAAGGAGGCACTCACTCTCGGATGCCAGCTGTGCATTTGCATGACCCTAGGTGCCCACTTGCCTCATCCTAGTCCTGGCTCTATTGGAACACACCTTGAGGGCAGAGATTGTGACTTCCAGGAAACTCTTTGACATCTCTTATGGTGTTAACATGATGCTAGGCACACATTTTGAGGGTCACTAGATGCCTCCTGATACTAATGAACAAGGGGTTTCTGACAAACTGATAGGTATACAGATGTTGGTATCTTTGGGTACACATGACCTTCAAAAGACAACAGAACAAAATGAAAAGGGCCCGAGACTGGAGTCTAGAGACCTGGATCCTGGACTTCTCTCTGCCAGCTACTTGCTATGGGAATGTAAGTAAATTGTTTCCCATCTCTAGGTTTCAGTGAAATGAGGTAGTTGAATAAATTACATTTATTGAGCATATACTTTGTGTCAGCTGCTGTTCAAATGTTTCTGCACTTTAACTCATTTAAAGGCTTCCTGGCCTTCAAGTTTCCTTCACTTCAAAAGGCTGTCGTTTGAGGTGAGGAAGGCTTCACAGAGAATGTGGGGCTTGAGACAGACCTTCCAAATTCCCACAAGAATAATAATACCTTAAATCATAATAAAGGCATGGTATCTCAAGGTACTTCTCCATCAGAAGACGGAGAGTCACCTGCTTCAGGGTCACCTTTGGAACATGTCTGAAGGCCATTCTCAGCCTCTGCCCCTGAGAGTCTAATGCAGTGATTCTGAAGCAGGGCCTGGGAATCTGTATTAAAATCTTCCCAGGTAGACAGGTTTGGGAAGCATTGATCTCAACTCACTCCCCTATCTGTGGATAGAATCATACCTAGACAGACCAGACCTAGGGCTGCTTGGCCTGTTCATCAGCATCTCCAAGCAGAGAAATGAATTCATTGATTGGTTAATGCAGCAAATTTTGTGCTGTTAGAAAAGCCATGATGCATTTTGTCTATGTTTTTCAAAGGTCATTTATTTATATAAAGAACAAAAATCAGTGAATGATATATTGTCCATTTTGTTCAATAACTTTTTGCCATCTTTCAGTGAGCTTCATAATTCCTCATCATAGAAGGACCTGTCTTTATTTGTGAAAAAATGAATAAGGTGCTGATTTACAGCCTCATCTAAATTGAACGTTATACCATGCAATGAGTTTTGTTGTTGTTGTTGTTTTAAGATTTTTATTGGGGAATTGGGGGGATGGGAACAGTGCTGGGGAATTGGGGGAAGGGGAACAGACAAGTTGCTGTCATTTTTTTGTTCTTCAGTCTAGTTGTGGAGGACGTTGCTTCACTGGCCCAAGTTGGCACCATCATTGCGCTCTTCCCGGGAGAGGCACATCAGTCGCCGGCTTCTGGACGGCCGCTCACTGCGGCCGCTGGCCGCTCACGCTGGCTACTGGCTACACACGGTAGCCCTTGGCAACCCACTGCCACAGGGGCTGCAGCCTACGCCGTCGCCGGCAACTCACGGCAGCCCAGCTCCAGGTTGAGCTGTTGTTCAGCATCTTAGTTGTGGAGGGCAGTGTCACTGGCCCTCACATGTGGGATCTGAACCAGGGCCCTCTGGCGTCCCAAGCCAGCCCTCAACCATCGCGCCACTAGGCCGGCCCACTAAATTTTTTTAAGAATGAAGCTAGAACTGTCAGCTGTCAAATGACATAGCAATAACATAGATGTGAATGACTCTAGTACTTCCAAAAATGAACTAGTGCCATCTGTCGCAAACATGCATCATGAGTGTTCCAACAACCCAATATTAAGCACCTGTTGTGTTCTAGGTCCTGTGCCAGGTGGTGATTATAGTTGCTACTCTCAGGGGACTCTTGGTCTGTCACTTATTTTAGAAGCAAGTCATCTAGCCAGAACCAGCAAGGCCTTAGAGATCATCAGACAATCCCATTACACAGTTGGGGAAACTGAGACCCAAAGAGGGAAAGCAACTGTTCAAGACTACACAGGGAGCAGATGTATTTCCTGCTCCCAAACCAGCTGAGGTCTCCCAGTGTTCTTCCCAGGAAGGGGGGTGCATGTAAAATCCTAGGACACCCACTCTGCTTCTTAAGCACTAAGCCTACTACACAGAGTAAACGTTTCTGGAAGTCTAACTTCTGACATTTTAAATCCTCAACATTTCTTCAACTGGAACGGAGGCAGGAGGGAACAGGGAACACCATGGGGTGTTGTAAAGCCTAGGAGTAAGAAATGCTTCCCAGGCTTGAGCCTTCCATCAGGTCTTCCGTGCAATCTAAAGCCCTTTCTGTGGCTATGCTGGAGGACATTGTGCCTGCCTCCTCCTGCACTTTAAAAGCCAAAAGAAGAGGAGGCCCCTCACAGGTTCTCAAGGACCCCGGCTCCCACCTCTCTGCCCAGACTTGCTTACATCACTGTCGCCAGGGGACTGGGAAAGGGGAAAAGCGGAGGGAAAATCGTGCCCGCCCCTGAAATGCGAGCCACCTTACGATTGGTTACAAGGACTCCGGCCCGGCCACGGATTGGTCGTCGCTGAGGGCATGAAAGGAGGCTGAGCATCGGACACCTCAGACAGACGGTGGCCTGGGATCAGTCAGCGTCTCGGGCGAGCCTGAAACGCGCGCCCCAATCCCGCCATGGCTCGGCTGCTCCGGGCATCCTGCCTTCTTTCCCTGCTCCTGGCCGGCTTTGTCCCGCTGAGCCGGGGGCAGGAGAACACGAAGGTGAGTGAGCCTCGGGGGTGGGGGTGGGGGCCGGGGAATGAACATAGCTCCCAGGTGTCCATCTTCCTGGGAGTTGCCCCTCTTCCCAGGTTCCCCTCCAGAAGGGCGACAACGTGGTGAGAGGGACGCCCTTAACTCCGGTTGCCTAACCCCTGCACCTGGACCCCCACACCAAGACCATTGGTCTCCTAGCAGTTCCACCTATTGGAGACTGAGTGCCCCAGGGTAGGCAGAGTGAAATAAGGGAGGAAGGTCGCTCTCCTGGAGTTCGAGATGATCCCCCACCACTACCTCGGGGTTGCCTTGCTACATCTATGTCACCTCTGGACAGCAGCTACTCCCCTCCAGTCAGGCCTGAAGGGGGTGCAGTCACAGAAAAAGGCCTAGAGAGACTTGGCATCTGGTTGGCTGAGGCAGTTCCTTGGGAGACTGTCAGGCAAGGAGGAAGGAAAGAACGCAGCTGGGTGGTCCCCATGTTGAAGAATTGCACTGGGGGTTCTTCTAGCCCAAGAATAAACACAGGTAGAAATGCACTTGGATTTGGGGCATTGGTAGACGACACAGAGATCTGTGACGGGAAAAGGTCCAGGCTGGCAGTGCACAAGACCAAGGACCCTGATTAGACCGCTGCTCCTTTCTGGCCCTGTTTCTCCATCTGCAGGGGTGGGGGTGGCGGGCAGCGGCAAAATGAAGCTGATGTCTTTAGAGCGGATGCTTGGAGAAGCTGCAAAATCCACACACCGTTCCCTGAAAGGTTTCCTGCTCTGAGGCAGCTTCCCAACCCACCACCCACTGCCCATATTGTCTTGAGCACACCTGGTAGTTGGCGCAAGCTGGGGACTGCCAGCTCAGTATGAGAGGCAGAATTCTCCTGAGCCTCAGTCCATCCCCAGCAGGGTGTGTGATCCTTAGCTGGAGTGGGGATGCTGAGGCCAGGGGTGACTGAGCATGGCTATCTCTTTTGATTATATATGCCAAGGTGGGCCCTGTAGACCTCTTCTCTACCCCAGGGTAGGGAGGCAGAAGCCAGGCAGAGGGATGGACAAAGAGAGAGATTTCTGTCTCCAATCTACACACACACACACACACACACACACACACACACACACACACACACTTGTGTAAACTCAAAAAAAGAGCTTTTCTGAGTCTTTATTCTAAGATCTTAAGAGTCCATGATTCTGTTTCCAAAATTTTATCTATTGCCCAGGAAGCCTGTTCCAAGCACAGGGTTCCTTCTGTCCATTTCCATCCCCTGTCCTGTCCTTAGCCTAAATCCCATTCAGTGCATTCCTCCTTGGAGCTGTCAGCCTAGAGACTAGATGGCTATCAAGCCACTTCTCCAAGCCTCCTCCTTTGTATCCAGCCTTGTTCCTAATTCCCGACTCGAAAGGCATTTTCCAGGGCAGGGATGGGACTGATTTCAAGATTGAGGGTGTGGTGTGGAGGTGGTGTGGGCAGGCCAGCACCATGAAGTCAGTCCTATACCCTCAGTTTGGGGACAACAAGAGAAGGGAGGATCGGGCCCTGCCTGAAGCCGACGAGAGGTAAGAACATGGACCCCATGAATAACTAACTCATCATACTGTGTTCTCTGCAGAGCTCTGGGGAGGAACAGATGGATTCAGAGAGAACAGGATGGGTATGGTCTCCTAAAGCCTTAGGGTGAGGTGTGATCATATCAGATGCAATGAGCTACAGCTTGCTGACGAATGGCAGCCTGGGTGGGCATGCCCATCTCTCCTCCCAGATCCTTAGAGAGCTGAATGTTTAGCCCTGGGTCCTAGGACTCAGCCACTTACTCCCACTCCAGGGCCAAGGGGTGGGGTGGGGGGCATGTGGAAATGGGATGGAAAATAGGTGGGCAGCCCCAGAGGGATGTTTGCCTCCTTCCAATTCAAAGGGAGAGGCTACAGAACAAAGGGAATCCTCCTTTCCTTGCCACATCCCCTCTCCAGTCTAGCTTAAGGTTGCCTAGGCTCCCTGTCCTTGCTCCATAAAAGGACTGCGGAAACTGGTGACAGTAACAACTGCTGACGTGCACAGGATCCTAGGAACCGCTGGTTTCTAGGTGACCAAACAAGGCAGAGAAATCATGGACCACAGGCTGACAGAGCTGAAGGGCCCTTAAGCCAGCACTGAATCTGACCCCATCTCACGATGGAAGAGCCAGGAAAGGAGTGGTCAGAATCAGAGGCCCAGCCAGGCCCAGAACTCAGATCTCCTGCTCCCAGTCCAGTTCTCTTTTCATAGCATCACACTGATGGGAGTAGGAAGTTGGGAGAGGGGAGACACACAAGACCAGCAGCCCAAGCCAGCCAGGGGCCTGGCTGAGTCCCTACCCGCCTCCAACTCTCAAGCCATCAGAACTCTCCTGTCCTGTACAACTGTGTGAAGATTGAGGCACTCTCACCGCCTCTCCCCTCCGTCTCCGCTGGCCTGCCCTGTTTAAAGTGCAGGGCTCCGGGATTCCATGGGCCCAGAGGAAGGAAGGGGGCTCATGTAAGAACTGGGCTGCAGTGCCCAGTGGTGAGTACAGGCCTTGGCGTTCCCCACCATGGGCCACTCTTTGACTCCCAATGGTCTGAACCCACAGCACTAACCTCACTGGCCCCAGTAGAAATCCTGCAACCTCTGTCACTTGTCCCTCCTCCGGGAGAGACGTTGTCTTCAGATCGGCTGGGGAACATCAAAGACCTCTTCACAATAATGTAGGAACAACAGGGTCCTTTACCCTAGCTGCAGGCAGAAAAATCACTATCCCTTGATGTGGTGATTTCTTTCCAAGAGGTTTTCAAGACAGTTTGATCTGCCGATAGGTTCTCACAGCCATTTTTGGAGGCAGGTGGTATTACCCTCACCTGTCAGTAGGTAGAGGCTCAGAGAGTGAAAGTGACTTGCCCAGGGCTACAGAGCCAGCAAAAATTTAAAACCTCATGAGAGGAGATACCCTTTGCCCCACCCCCACTGGGTGCCCAGAAGCTGATCCTCGTGCTGTGTACAAGCCTTCATTGTTTGGACAACCTCTTGGCCTTTTCTCTATTTCCCCGAGGTTTGTTTTCCGATGGGGGCGGAGTGGACAAGGTGGGGAGGGCAGCAGGGAGGCCTTGCCTTTTGGCTGCTAGACCTTTGTAGCCATTTGGGGTGTGTTTGTTGTGTCCCAGTTGTTTGTACTTTGAGGTGGAACTGAACCCAGCTGGGGCCAAGGAGGCGCAGGGGCTGGAGGAAGAGTGAGTGGAGGTCTAAGGCCTGCTTCTAGCACCCACCAAAAGTCACGGGGCATGGGATATTAAACTCATGTAAAGCAGGGAATTTGCACCAAAGCCAAGAGAGATCACAGCTGTCAGGGAATGGAGGGACCCAGCCTCACCTAGCTCAACAGGCCTGTGGCGTCTTCAAGACAGAGGCAGCTTTTCTGCACCCTCCTGGGTCCACGCCCCACCAACCCAGATGGCTTCCTTCAGCCAGTTGGGCCTAGGTACTTGACTTCCAACAACAAACCTTCCGGGATTGATGGGAAGAGGGGGCGTGGATTTGTCTTTCTAACGCCTATCACCTGTCTCCATCTCTCCTGGTCTATAATAGTTTGCACTCGATTTGATGATTGTATTTCCACCTCTCCTATGTCAGGGCCAGAAATCAACTTAGAGGTTACCTGATACAATGGTGGCAAGCTCTTTCCTTTCCCATCACCACTGGCCCACCTGCTGATTGTGTTATCGATATCATGATACCCTTTCTAGAATAGACCCAGATTTTTTGTAGTCTGGGCAAAGGATGAAGGCGGGGCAGAGTGGAGTCAAATGCAATCTCCCACTTGTTAGCAATAATTCCATTCCTTCGTCTCCCACTGATAAGATGCTGTCAAGCCATCATAGTTGAGAACAGCTGATCCAGTTCAAGGTTCTCATTTTATAAAAGAGGAAACTGAGGCCCAGAAAAGAGAAAGGGCCAGTCCAGGACCACACAGGGAGTCAGGGGCAAAGCTGGACATGGAATCCACGTCCCCCAACTTGTAGTCCATTGTACACTGTCCTTACTTGTTCTGGAGGTTGATTGTGGAGCAAGCAGTTGAGCAAAGAAGAAGGCATCATGGTCCTCGTCACAAGTGCTCACTTACAGGGGACATCTAATATGTGTGAGGCGCTGTTGCTGTACCCTTCCCATCATCTTTCATCCTCATGGCAGGCCTTTCCCCATTCCTGGCTCCTACTCCTACGTCCTTATTTTATAACAACAGCCTCAGCTTTCCAGGCCTCCAGGTTTGGGCACATCTGAATCACACCACTGTCCATACTGCTGCTGTCTTCTTTCTGCTCACAATGGTTTAGTTCACAATGGTCTAGTTCAGGCCCTCATCGTCACTTGCCTAGATTATTCCAACAGCCACCCAACCAGTCTCCATCAGCCCATCTACCTACAATGCAACCACCCGATCAGGGCAGTCTCCCTCGGAGCCTGGTCCATGTTTATAAATTGACGTGTGATGTGAAGTAACGATCACAGCAATTCTCCAGGTTTCTATAGCACTCACCAGCATATTAAATGCTTTCATTATCATTATCTTGCTCACAAGGAATGAGGAGACCTCGGTTCTATTCCAGTTCCAATGCTTGGAGTGGTCTTGAAAGCCTTCAGGGTAATCTTTCGTTATCTTGAAAGTGGAGATATTTCAGTTCCCTTCCGGCTGTAACCTCTCCAATGCTCGTCTTGTGTTCCAGAAGGACTGCTTTCCTGGCGTGACCGGCACCATCTACGACTATGGAGCCCTCACCCTCAACGGGGAAGAGTACATCCCCTTTAAACAGTATGCTGGCAAATACCTCCTCATTGTCAACGTGGCCAGCTACTGAGGCCTGACGGGCCAGTACGTTGGTAAGGGCCCACCCCTCCTCCCCTGCTGTATGTATTTGGGGCTGTTTCTGCCAGTTGGGCATATTGCAATCATAGGTGCTTTTCTGGTGTAAGGGGGAAGGGGTGCCAGTGTTCATGAGATTCCACATCATGTATCCCAATTCTATGTGCCATGGTTTTGTGAAGATGATTATCTAAGCCTGGGGTCTGATTACCTTCGAATATGTTCCAGAAGGCTCCCAGTCATCCTTCTTCATCCCTGGGCACCTCAACTGCCCTCAAAGCAGAGGGGTGGAGGAGGTTGGGTTTGTGCCTGAAGTCTTCTTTCACTGGAGTAAGAAATGGTAGCTTTGTCTTGCTGAGAATTTCTCATTTGCCCTCAGCCGCATCTGCCTTAGCGCTTCTCTGGGCCCCTATCTGGAAAGCAGGCAATGGGCCTGAGGCCATTTCACCCAGGTTTCAGGATCCCTGGTATTCTCACTCTTTTCTTCTTAGTTGAGGCAAAGTAAAGACGGACTAGGCAGGCCAAAGGCGGGTGACAGCTCCCACAGGAAAATGCGCTGGAGCTGAGCACAGTCTGCTGGGAGGGGCTCAGAGGAGGCCAGAGCAGTCTGACCCCGAATGTTCTGCCTGGCAATCACAGGCGAATTCCTGGAAGTGGAATGACAGAGGGCTGGATGGCCCAGCGGGCAGGGGCTGCTGTCTGGAATGCTTCTGTCAAGCCCTTGGAATAGAGCACAGTGTTTGTGCAAGAGATAGGTTGGGTGCTGGCCTTGTACAAGCCAGGAAACGCTGAGGGAGCTGGGTCAGGGCTTTCCTCAGACCCCTGAACTCCCAGAGTACAGGAGGGTTGTGAGCCCCCAACCCCCACCCCAGGGAAGTCCTCTGCCTTCTCCCAGCAATGAAAGGTTCTTGCTCCAGGAAACTCAATCCTGAGAGTCCTGAAGGAGACCTGCCCTTGGCAGTGGGTGGGTGACTGACTACTGATTTGAGGAAGGGTATTACTTTCTTCCCTCCCAAAACCTCCAACCCACCCTGCTTCGAGTCAGGAGGATGGGACTTGAATTCCAACACTGATAACATTCGCTGAGTGACCTTGGGCAAGACCCTACTATCGGGCTTGTGATTTCAGCTGTACGATGGGCAAGCAGGTGGAGTGGTGTGGATGAGGCAGGGCTCCTGACCAGGCTACCCCCATCTCTGCTCTCTCTCCCTGGCCCAGAACTGAATGCACTACAGGAAGAGTTTGAACCGTCTGGTCTGGTCGTTCTGGGCTTCCCCTGCAACCAATTCGGAAAACAGGAGCCAGGAGAGAACTCGGAGATCCTACCTAGCCTCAAGTGAGTGCTCACTCACCTGAGAAAGCTCCTCCATCCAGCCCACCCCGTGCCCCAGCCCGGGCTCCAGGCATCTTTCGCATCCGCTCCTACTCATGGTGGATCTTTTCAGCCACCAAAACTACTCTCCCAGTCCAAGAACCCCCGTTTGGTAAAACGAGGGAAAGAAGGGACAGGAGATAAAAAGGGAGAGGGACAGGGATGACTGGTTGTGAGGGTGAATGGGGGGAGCGCAGGCATTACTGAGAAGGGACCAAACTGGAAAAAGAAGACAGCAGATGCACACTCTGCCTATCCCATTCAATGTTCACTGGCTCCCACGGCCCGCTATGGAGTACAATCCAGGTTCCCAATACCCCTTCCCCGGCTGTCCCTTCCTCTTCCTTTATGAGCCCTGTGCCCATCCATCTCCTTGGGACCCACCTAAGAACATTCCTCTAGGCATGTCCGACCGGGCGGAGGCTTCATCCCCAATTTCCAACTCTTTGAGAAAGGCGATGTGAACGGGGAGAAGGAGCAGAAGTTCTACACGTTCCTGAAGGTGAGTGCACGGCCACCTGTGTGGGAGCCTCACGGCCCCACTGCCGCCGGCTGCGGACTGGGCTCCAGCCGCTCAGGGCCCCAGCCCATGCAGAGACAAGGCCCGTGCCACCCTGCCCTGCTCCTGGGCTCTTGGCATCTACTGTTCCAACTAGTGGGCTTGGCAGACCCTAGGATCTCATTAGCCTGTTTTATAAATAAGGCCCAGTCAGGGCCCCAGAAGGGACAGGCTAAGGGTTTCACAGTCTGCTAGAGCTAAGATGGTTCTGGGATTCAGTCTTCGAGCTCCCAAAGTGGCACTTCCTCAGTGCCACGCTGTTGTCCTACCCCAGGAAGGCCCAGGGAGGAGGAATGGAAGGGGCCGCAAGCAGGGGTCATTCCTCTCACCCCCGTTTCAGAACTCCTGCCCGCCCACCTCGGAGCTCGTGGGCTCACCTCACCGCCTCTTCTGGGAACCCATGAAGGTCCATGACATCCGCTGGAACTTTGAGAAGTTCCTGGTGGGGCCAGACGGTGTACCCATCATGCGCTGGCACCACCGGACCACCATCAGCAACGTCAAGATGGACATCCTGGCCTACATGAAGCAGAAGGCAGCCCAGGAGGTCAAGAAGTAATCGAGGCCTGCCCCAGCCCATGTTCACCACGCAGGGCTGGGGAGGAACCCTGTTCAGGAAGGAATCCATTTCTGCAGCCACACCACACTCCCACCATACACCCCTCCCTATTACACAAGGCCCCAGCCTGACACAAACGTGTGCACCCAGTTGTGAGTGAATGCGCAAGCATGTGCAGCCACACGTGTCTACCTGCATGAATACCCAGGAGTGTGCACCAATGTGTGTGCCCACAGCTTTGTACTGTGGAGAGTGCTAGAGAATAGCACCCCTTTCTCTCCAGTTCTCTGCTCCAATGATAACGATTCACTTTCAGCTGAGCCCAAAGGAAAAACCAGCTCTAGATCCAACTCTTCTGCTCGACCTAGACCTCAGCTTTGGGGTCAGCATCTCCCACGGCCTCCAAATGCCACCACTGAAGTGCCCAGAAGTTTCTGGGTCTACCACACTGCCCAACCGCTCTCCTCGCCATCGTAAAGCCTCTTTCCTTCCTGAAGGGCCCTCCCGAGCCCCCTACCCCACCCCGCAGCGCTCCCCGAGCAGCCAAGGCAGATGTGAGAGCAAGGGCCACGTTCCCCATGTCAGGGGTGGCTTCTGCATGAAGGAGGGGCCCGAAGCCCTTGTGGGCGGACCTCCCCTGAGCCTGTCGGAAGGGCCAGCCCTTAGTGCATTCAGGCTGAGGCCCCCGTGCAGGGATGCCACCCCCACCACTTTGGAGAATGTGCCCTCACTGCTCACCCCGGCCCATTGGTGTTAAGGCTCACCCCTGTCTGCCCAGTAAAGGCCTTTTTCTGCAGCAGCTGAGTCTACTCTGGTGTTTCCTCAATGGGGCCGCCAC